TATATGTGAATTTTGATAAGATAGTGGGTTGGGGGGGGGGGGATGGGTCACTTATTAAGACATTTGTTTTATATTTAAGTAAATATGTAAATAAATAGATACTTACTGGAGCAGCTCTCCAAAGCTGTTCTTGTAAGATAGACTATAAATAAAATGACAACAGAATATCCAGGTATTAGAGTCTTAACTGGGACTTATGATCTCAGATTATGAACTGCATGCAAAAGGAATTTTGAATCTGACCCTGAACTGTTCTAATGAAATTCTTCTTCATTTCAATGGAGCTATATCTTACATAAGTCTGTTTTGAGAAACCCATCTTGGAAATAAACAATCATCAGTATAAACTTTCAGGATTTATCTAATTCTGTCACTAGTGTTTTTTATTTTAGCTAATCAAAAAAGAAGCTTTAATTCTGATGAAGACTCATTAGCACTTAGAACCAAAATCTGTTTTGATTCCCATGGTTCAGAAACAAACACAGCCGCCAAGGAAGAGGAGAGTTCCCTTTTCCATTACCAAAATCTGAAACACATTTAGGGGAGGAGAGAGAGATAAAATCTTGAAAAGTATTTTCAAAATAAGAGACATAAGGCTACTCAGCTAAAACCTTTGAACAAACTGACTTTGAAAAACCACAAATGTGACAAAGAAAAACATATCAGTACTATCAAATTGTTACAGCCCACCCAGCATCCAGTGTTTGAGGGGTTCCTCCCATATGATGGTCAGGGACAGATAAAAAACATGTTCAGGCTTCTTGCAAACTGGAGGCAGCCTAAACCAATATTTTTGCTCTTTGAAATTGAAGCTTGCGTGCACATGGACAACATGAGTGCACTCTGGAGAGTCTGCTCATAAATCTCTGATAGCTGCACTGAACGTAATAGCAGCCAGTGGGGGACTTCCTCCACAGCCTGAAGGGAAGTGTGAAGGTGCCTACAGGTGGCAATAGTGCTGGGCTAATGGTTGGTCACGTGACTTTTTCAATCAATATCTCCATACTTCTTCCTCAGATTTGAACAGTAACTGGTTACTGAAAAATCATTGTATTCTTGCCATTCTCCATTAGAATCTGAAATAAAAAATGGCACATTGGGGGATTAGCTAGTATCAAATTCAAATACATTAGGAGAAACAAAATGTTTGACTTTTTGGCATTTTTAATTTTAAGAAATGGAATGTGAAGCTAAATGCTGTAAACGGAAGAATATCCTCCATCATCGTAGGTGGGAGTCTGTAGGGCACAAAGTAAGGTATCATAAATAAATTGGTACTTATAGAAATCCTATTTGGCATTTAGGAAATACGAAACTTTCCTCCAGTCTTTTTAATAGGAACAATTCGTATTTTGAAATGTATGTGGACTTGTCCTAAAATTCAAACACTATTAAATTACACTGCTACCATTAATGGCGTTATTTCTCCTTGCTCTAAATCAGTGGTTCTTACATTTTTGACCCAATTACCTTTTTCTCTGGTCTCAAATAATGTCATTACCCCTCGCCCCACACACAACCCCCTCTCCCCAAACCAGGCTGTGTTGTTTTCCACAAGCATGGCAGTCCCCAGAACTGGATTCTCAGCTCACAAACAAGCAATTACAAATTGCTCCATTACCTCCAGGATATGCCCAAATTACACCCTTGGGGGTAATTATCCCCACTTGAAGAACCACTGCTCTAGATTATTATTGTGATAACTGATTCTGCACTGAAATATAATCTGGGATCCTCCCCACCTCCCACACCACTCTTTTATTTCTATTGTGGCCTTTGAAGAACTTTTTGACAAATAAACAGCAACTGGTAATGCCCACTACTACTTTCAGTGCATGGAATTAATTTCTTACGTGCAATCTAATGTGGTGGCATGCCTGGCGAACCGACCAGTATTTTTGTTAACATTTATATGCAGTACCTGAAGATCTGGCAGTCAGCTTCTTCAGAACCAAATTTAACTGCATCTCCTATTTGTGTATGTGGGTGTGTGCCCCTTTCAGAAAGATGGCTTAGTCAGAATTTCAGGGAAGCAGAATCCTGTAGGTGGGAGTTTCTCCTTTCCATGTCTCCTCAAAACAGCTTCCTCCAGCACACCAACGCATATGATTTTTAAAAAGGGATTAGCATGTACAAAGCAAGCAGCAAACTGCTGCTGCTCCTCCTCCTCCTCCTCCTCCTCCAAGATGCTCCTTGAATCACTGGAGTTGGGCACAGGGGAGGGGGAGAAAGAGCTTTTGAAGCCAGGCAATTTCTAAGTTGCATCTTGTGCAACCCACGTTATATTTTCTTAGACCAGAAGGCTATACTTACTGTAATAAGATGGAGTGGAGAGGGAGGCAAACTAATCACAATTGCCATGGGAGGGGGTGCTTTACTGCAGCATAAGGGGGCGGGCTGAGGAAGGGGTTGGTTTTGAATAGAGGCTTCATTGGCGCTGTCCCCGGTGCTGAAAACGACAAGCCCCTTAACGAGGAGGACCGTGCGGCAGAGGAAACCACCCTCCCCTCTCAAGAAGGCGCCCTGGACTCGCGCTTCGAGGCCTGCGCGGGGCGAGCGAAGAGGGGGCGGAGGCGCGTTCGCGGCGGGCACGCGCACGCCTGCTTCTTTTCTTTCGCTTGCCTTGCCTGGACTCCGTGTGAGTGCGTGCGTGTGTGTGCATGTGTGGTGTGTGCGCGCGTGAGTGTGTGTGTGACAGAGAGGGGTGAATGTGTGTGATTGCCTACGGAGGAGCTGGATGTACCGAAGCGTCGGGACCACATCAGCAGCACTGAAAAACTGCATTCAAGCCGCCTCTTTCTTCCTTGGGCTAGCCCCAAGAGCACTGCAGCAGCGGGCCACAGCTTCCCCCCACCCCCCGATTCTTTTGCTTCTGCTGGGAGCTCCTCTCCAGCTCGGGTCCTTCAGCCGCTTGCTCAATATGCAGAGGATCTAATTTGCTGAGCGAGAAACGGTCAGGGAAGAAGGAGGCGGTGGTGGTGGAACAGGAGGAGGAAGAGGAGGCAGCAGCAGAGGAATATTTCGTGGCTTGGTGGATGCTCTACTTTTCATGGCAATGCAAAAAATCCGGCAGATTTCTCTTTTCCTGGCTCTTTTGGTTTGGGGATTCATCTGGGGGGTCTACTCAAACGGCATACAAATAGGTGAGTGTCCTCTTGAGCGCAGATCTTTTTGTCTTCATCTCCCAAAGACCCTCTTTTGGTTCTTTCTTTAGAGGAGATTTGATTCAACCCTAATTCATGGCATGGAAACTTAAATTGAGCCTCTCTGCTGAAGTAAATGGATGCTAAGAGTGCCTTCATTAGAGACCAGTTCCCCCTAGCCTATTTCGCAATTCAAATGATTGCTTCCCAGTTACATTCCTTTCCCACTAAAAACAGCTCATTTCCACAAATGGCTTTTAAAAGAGAATCCCTTCTGCCTAACCAGTTGTACAGATGATGTTTGCAAAGAAGCAGTTAATCGCCCACTGAAATCATGAAATCATATCCCTGGGATATCAAAAAAATCAGAAGGGAGCTGGATCAGTGAAGGGTGCATATCCTAACATGCTATAGGATATCCATAGACTG